AACATAATTTTAGTTTTAGAGGACTAAGTAAATGTGGATACTAACTATGCAGATTGTGAGAGCTTTCCAAGAAACAGATACAGAATGACATCGATGAGATATTTCAGTCTTTACATCATAGGGATGACCTGGTGATTACTGGTACTAAACTGAGAAACTTGAAATCAAAGTGCCAAAAAGACTAGTGTGTCTATTGCATAAAAATAATTAAACTCTAATGAGTTTGATATCTTATTTAATATAGAAGGGATTATAACAAACCGTATTTACCAATATGATAAATTCCCAAATATTTAGGTGGATTCACAGTTGATATGTGGCAAATATTTGTGTGTGATACAGAGGAATGCCACAGCTCTTGTCAATGGACAGCATCAAGAAGTCCTTGCCTTCAACCTTGGTTTACATAGAATCTTCCTGAAGCTTTTCCAAGGCATATTTCAGTCTAGTTGGACTATAAGCTTCCAGGAGTTCTCTGCTTCTTTTCACTCTCACTGTGCAATCTGGATGGTGCACACTCTTTCTCATTGTCAAAACATTAAGTAATTCTGGAACTGAAACTCAGTTCTTCATACTTGTGTTGCAAGTGAATTTACCCACTGATCAAACTCCCCATCCCACAGTCGTATTTTAAATGATGTATTTCCAGGAATAGGTACCAGATCTGTGTGTTGTCCCCACCATAAACATTGGGTATGCAGTGCCATTTTTGAAAAAAATCAAAGCCCTTAATTAGGTTCCAATAGTCTATAGTTTGAGGGCTTAAATAGATTCAGGTGAAACAAATTGCCTCACATGGAAGATGCTTTAACTACATTTAATTTAGGAATGATATTGGAGTGAGAATTGAGAACTAAAATATACTTTATCATGTCAGTCTACTTTAGGTTAGTAACAAAGTTTCAACTATGTGATATGTTATCTCTATATCCATAGATAATTAAAAGTTAAATATAATAATATAATTTTAAGCATTCTTTACTTTGTTGGATATTTTGTTTTATATTGAAGAAAAATGACATTTAGATTACATGATTTGTTTAATAATATTTAAAGGAACGGAAACATAACTAGAACTCATCATGCTGTCAAAGAAACACTAACCTGTGTCATCTCATTTTCAAAAAGGGATACAAAATCTATGACAATTTGTAGAAACAATGTTTAAATGTTAAAGTTATTTTTATAGATAAAGTATTTGAAAGGAGGAAAATATCCTTTCCTTTTTACATTTATGAGCTGAGTGTTTCATTAATCATAAAACTGTATTTTTCCCATGTGAAAGAAGGAGTGTCTTCTTTAACAACACATACCATGTTCTTAATCACATCTTGATGACACTTTCAGTTCACCTTCTTGATGTTTGTCCTTTGTTACTTTTTTAGAGTGTTTAAATTAGAAGATAAGTTGCCAAAATGATGATTTTTTTTTTACTCATGAGTCTGTATGAATGTAACTGATCACATGCATGTTATTGCACTATGAGAAAGTTCTCATAATGATAAAAAATGAAAATTAAAGCCTCCTTAATTTCCAACAAAAAATTACATTATCACTATGGCACATGCAATCCATAACAGCACCTCTCCAATTCAAGAAATAAATACAATGTGTAATAGGACAAGTATTTTAGTAATGTGTTTGACACTTCCTTTTCAGTATCAACCAAGTATATTTGACAGTATGCAATTGTAGTGGTTTTAATACTAAAAGGGAAAACATACCATACCATAATGTATCTTGAATTGTGCTAGATTATATGGTAATTGTACAAGTACAGAGTCCTTTGCTCGTGATTGTAGAGTGAGCTATAACTAGCTTTCTGTCTCTGTTTTCCTGAAGAGAATCTATAATATATATATTATATGGAACAAAAGCAATTGCACAGAAATGTCTAGAGATTTTTCAAGCCAAATAATAATACACACTATGTAAGATTTATTTAAATTTGAAATAAAATTACTGAGTTTCCATAAAGCAGTTTTCTGTTGTATTCAAACATGAAGCATAGTTCATAATTCTCATGTGGACATCTAGTTCCTCATTCATTAATTTGTTGCTTGTATATGGAGTGAGTTTATCACAAAATGGGAAATTTCATCACTGTATTTAGAGGAATAATATGAAAAAAAACAAGAGACTTGTGCATTTGCTATGATAAGACTTGGCTTCCATTTATTGGCATCTTCTAATACTAAAAAGACATTCCTAAAGCAGAGAGGTTCTACCTACAAAATGGTGTACAGAAATGAAAAGACCACAGTTTTAATACTCCAGTGTAATAATGAGTTGATATCCCGAAGGATATATTTGTAACTTTCTTCAATCTCATACAAATGAAACTTGTTTTACTCTATGATATTACAAATATGTTCTTGGTTTATATTTTATGGAACATTGAATTCCTAATATATTGCTCATGTTTCTTTCCAGAAAGGGCACATTGTGTCAAGTGTTATAAATAGAGTTTTATTAAAAGAAGCCAAGTCTACTATGTCATAATAGCCTTTGTGGGCTTGTTGAGCCATGAAGTGTTTTGAACACAATGGAGAAGCTGTGTTCAGATTGACAGTGACACAGAGAATATTGTTAGGCTTTTAAGTGTTGTAGAGTCAAACTTTTTTAATTTTAGAATTTTGAATCCCTGTTGATTTTTAAAACCAGAAAATTATTCCACCCTCAATGGTAATCACTAAACAATCAGAAAAATCCTTCCTCGAAATGTACAGAAGCTTACCAAAAATTGTAATTACTGTTGAGTGTCCATAAACATTTTTGGGGAAAGACTGTTTCTATGTTTATAATTATAAAAGAAGATATCTCATTACATGCTACAGAGATTCTGAATAATTAACTGTAATCGGATCTCAGACTTTAATAACTTGTGTCAGGAGCTAATGCAGTCCACATTGAGATTGTCCACTCAGCCATTGAAGGATGAATTCCACAAAGTGGACTTTCTAGTTCTGCAACTGAAATTAAGCACATTTTATGATGTATGATTTATTGGATTTATACATTGAAAAGAAAAACACATGTTCAATCTCAAACAACACAGAAAATTATACAGATTGTAGTCATAAAATGATATCCATTTCTAAATGCAATGTTACAATTATTTGATCATTGTATTTCCATTACATAGATTTTTTTGTATATAGCTATTCCTGATATTTTATCATGGTGTGTTAATACAAAAGTTACATTGTGGTAGTGAATACTCATATACTACCATCAATCTGAATTGAGTATATTAAGTTAGTTATTTAGTTGGGTCCTTTTAATTTACCTAATAATTTACATTCTCAAAGATATGCATGTACAATTAGGGGTTTCCAGGTACTGTGTGCATTACCTTCATAAGAAAAGTTCTCATGGGGGGACAGGGAGAAGGGATTGACATGTGAAATTATAATTTTGTAAAAAATTAAAAAAAAATCTGAAAAAAAGAGAGGAAAGTTCTCCATACTGGTAAGACATAATTAATTTCATACATTTCTGTCTTAATCATGTTCTCCAAAGGTCTAATATGGAACTCACTCTCATCTTCTGTAAGTTGTAACACTGGGTGAAATTGAGTTTCAATAATAACTAGAGGATGAAACCATTAGTTCTTTTCCTATGACTTTACTTCTACCTCAGGTCCAGGAATATTTATCAGATGACAGAATCAGCCTAACAAAAGCTTATTGCTACTCAGTTCCACAGAAAGTGACTTTGGACTAAATAGAATGCCCTTACAATTTTGGGGTATAATTTGTTGCAGAAAAATGATCACATGTACTCATTCATAGCAAGAGCCTGCATAATAAAGTATCACAGACAAATTTTTCTTACAATTGTATCTACATTATAGTATACAAATTTCCTTCAATTAATTCCTCATTATTCTTTTCTTATTCATTGAATGATGAATGGAATATAACTGGCATATTCATATGTAATTACTCTTACTTGAAAATACTCTTTTTCTATATTGCAAAATTCTCTTTTATTTATTAATCATATTTGCAGAAAATGGATGCTTATTTTTTATCCTGATAAAGATATTCCAAATACAATATTTGAGAGTTATTTACTGTATGTATGAATAATAACTAGAGGTAAGAAACATCAGTTATTGAATATATTCAGATTAATTGATTGATTTTAATGATAACTGAAGATATTGTACTGAACACAGAGTACTTAAACTAAAATAAATGAAAATAGAACTTTCAAACTGACTTTTCAATTCCATTTAAACAGAAATTGGGCTTTCATTTTGTTCTTATGTGACTACATAATATATCCCACTTTTCTTTCAAGTTCCAAATATTTTTATTGCAAATCACTGTCACCAAACTATTTCTTCAGATGATTACTATATGACTGTCAATGTTAAAGCTAAATTTTTGACTCTTCAAAGTCACGTTTTGTTGACATAAAAGCTCTACCAATGTCAGAAGTCTTTCTACCTTAATAATGTCTTGCCTTACAGAAAACAATTAGAATAACTCATACCAAATATAATAATTACCTAATAATGTGCCTAATTCAACTAGAAGCATGTTTACACTCCTGTAACTATCATTTCCATTTGCACCTATATATCAGCTGTACCTCCTTCCGTATTTATTAACTGATTCATAAATTTGCTGTGTTTAATTATGTTATAGATTTGGGTTTATGACTTGTTTTCTATAATAGGTTCCTCCCAGCATCAGTTTACACCTTTAGTTCTGTCTTCATATATAACTGTGTGTCTTTTGCAAGAAAGAACTTAGCTCACCTCTTCAGCAGCATAGATGAGTAAATTAATGTCACACATAGAAAAAAACATCATTGTTTAGGGTAATTAGCAAAATATGCTTATTAGATATTATTAATGTTAAAGAAGGTAATTCTCAGGAATACATAGGGGTGACCCCAGCTAGGACTCCTAGCAATAGTGCAGAGAGTCTCTGAACACACCTTCCCCTTTAATCAGATTAGTGACTACCCTATTGGTCATCATGGAATCGACATCCAGTAACTGATGGAAGCAGATGCAGTGACCTACAGTGAAGCACTGGGCTGAGCTCCTGCACTTAAGTTGAAGAGAGGAAGGAAGGATCATATGACTAAGGGGAGGGGTCAAGAACATGATGAGGAAAACCACAGATACAGGTGAGCCATGCGAATGAGAACTCATATGGTTTGGACTGACAGCTGGGGAAACTGCATGGGTTTGAACTAGGCCTTCTGAATGTGGGTGACAGTTATGTGGCTTGATGGACTCAATATGCTCACTGGTAAGAACTGAGAAAGATGTCCTGTGTACAGATAAGAAAGAAAAGAGTAGACACTATGAATGCTGCAATGTTGCTCATAGCAAAGACCTCAGACTCACCATAGACACAGCCAAACCTTGACTTACCTGAAAATTCCCTCTTCCTTCTTCTATTTCTTCCCATGTTTATTGCCCATCTCAAAACTAAAAATCAAACAAGGAATGATTAAGAAGAATTTTCAGAGGCCTGTGTTTATAAAATCACATCATTTCCTCTCCTGTGTAATGAAAGGACTCTGTACTAATAATGACTTATGGTTGAACAATCAGGATGACAGAATTATTGTGTAAATGGTACTTACAGAAGTCCAAATTCAATAAGGAAACAAGTCCCCTCCCCAACAAAACTTACAAAATAGCAAACATTGATCTCATTCTAATTTCTACACTGATTAACATAATCAAACATTACCCTGTCCCCGTCATCCACAGGGGATTTTTGAAGGAGATGTGTTACTGAAACTTGTAAGGTTAGCCTATATAACACCCATGTGACATGGGCTTATTATTGTTTTTCTAATTAAAAACAATCTTACTTTACATACCATTCCCAGTTCTCTATCCCTCCTGTCCTCCCATGCCCCCACCAGCCTCCTATCCTATCCCCCATCCACTCCCTGGGAGTGAGACCTTCCCCGGGGGATCATCAAAGTCTGTCACATCATTTGGGGCAGGGCCTACGTGCTCCCCCATGTATCTAGGCTGAGAGAGTATCCCTCAATAGGCAATGGGCTTCCAAAGTCCATGCACTAGGAATAAATACTATAGTTCCACTGCCATTGGTCCCATAGACTGCTCTGGTCACCCAACTGACACCTACATTCAGGGGGCCTGGTTCAGTCCTATGCTTGTTCCTTAGCTGTCAGACTGGGGTCCATGAGCTCCCACCTTTACAGGTCAGCTGTTTCTGTGAATTTCTGTAGCAAGGTCTTGAACCCTTTACTAATTGCTCCTCCCTCTCTACAACTGCATTCCAGGTTATATTTATATCTCTGTGTTTTTATTTTATTTTATTGAGATGGAGTCTCTCTATGCAGTCCTGGCTGGCCTGGAACTCACTATGTAGACCAGACTGGCTCTGAACTCTCAGTAGTCTGCTTACCCCTTACTCTTGAATGCTAAGAATGAAGATGTGAGCATCATGTCAAACCATATACATATATGGTATGATTAATCATGCGAAACTATAACAATAAGAGATATATGAAGAACAAGATACGTTCAGTCTTTCACGAATAATGCCAAAGAACTAGTTCACTAGTTCACTAGTTCAATGCCATCCCATCTCCCTAGCAAAATCCTGTCTGGAAAATATGAAATGCAAAGTAATGGTAAAAAAGTATGTTAAGGGAAAAATCCAGCTCTACCAACATATGGCCTTTCTTCTTGTTTAAACTAATTACTTACCTTGATAAACAAAAAACAAATGTTGTACTAGTTTATGAGGTAATGAGTCATTTATATACATATGTATATCCAGGTATGTTTCAATAGTGTTCAACATCTATTGAATTAAATATTTATAATTTCTTTATGTTGGAAACATCAAAATCATTTCTTCCAATTTTTGTAATACATAGCACATTGTTATTTTATAAGACCTCATTTATAAAATTTTGGAAATGGCAAATGGAAATTAAGCCATAGGAAATAAAAATAATGAAATTAAGAAGTATTCAATATTCAGATGATTGAGAATTTTCACAGAAAGAAAGTGTTTCCACAATGTAGTAAGAAATAGAGCCAATAAAGATCTGAAAGAATACAGCTCCAGGTAGGATAACATTAACAGATAGGGCCAGAAAGACAAAAGCTTCAGGAGAGTGGAGAGTCCATGGAAGAATTCTCTCTGCTTGTGTCATGTTACTTTGTGATCAGGGTAGTAGCCCAAAGGAAACTTCCTTGGCTAATTGCCATGAACCATGTTTAATTTAATAAAGTCACAGCTGCAATTCTTTCTAACCAGGGACTCTCCTGAGTCTGCATTGCTGGAGGATATTAATATCCATAAACCACAGCATTCTCTTTCCTGAACATGAACTTGATATTGCTAGAGAATGAATACTATCATCATTTGGGTACTAGATGCTGTGAGTTTGATTTTGAATGAATATTTAAAAGCCCTCTGAGATACATTATTTCTTTGTTTTATGATGCAAATAGTTCAAATTTTGAAACAAAATAAAATATTAGTATATGTTCAGTGAACTCCAAATATTTCATCAGAATATACAATTAAATTTTCACATAGTCTCACTAGGTAGGGTTTCCTTCTGCCTCAGCCTCCCAAGTGCCAAGATTAAAGGCATGTCACTGTTAAATAATTCTTAACTAGTGAACAAATTTAAGAAATATGAAGAGATGCAAATCAACAGTCATAAAAATATTTTCACGAATTTACATTTGCTCAAATCATGTCATTGATAATTTTTCATGAAAAGTAAGAAATAATTCTATTTAAACTACATGCAATAAATTAAAATATTGAAGACTAGAGTAATATGAAAGTATATTAGTAGATACATTGCACATCCAGCAAAATGATGTCAAATGACTCCAAGACTTAAGGTGCTCTCAGTATCGAATTTGAAATTTTTATTCACTGTATTTACTTTCTATTGTACCTTTCTTAGGTAAAAATTTGCCAGAGAAATTTTAAAAGCAGACAGATTTGAAATTGTAGAGTTAAAGAAAATTGACAGTATTTTGTATCCATTTCAAGCATCATAATATTATCATATCTGGTCAAAATTATAAATCTTCACAAAGTTGTATAAGATTCAAATCCAGTTATTTTCCCAAATAAGACTTGATTGGAAGAGAAAGCAAAGAGTCATCCGTGAACCATGGGACAAAAAAAGAGGGAAGTGGAGAGATAAAGCTATCACAGAAGGACTAGCCGACTTTGATTATAGTTTTTTTTTTTCTATATGAAGAGTGACTACAAAAAGACCCATGTACTAAGTGGGTAATAGACAGAGAACAATGTGATTAATTTCATAGGGTGATGAACTCCGTGAACTAGATGGTCAGGGATGAGTATGTAATCCTTTCCTATTAATCATGAATTCAAAGAACAAACAAGGTGGCAACAGCAAAGCCTTGGTTTACCAATTTCCATTACTTCATGATCTATAGTATACATAGAAGATTTAAGGTTATGTATAACAGGAGTAAGTATGTACCACTGTTACCATTTGGAAAATGTAAAAATTAGTTCTAACTTTTGAATGGTGAAAGAAATCTCAGTTAAGTATGACATCACTAATTTTTGGTTACATGGATTGTACATGCAGGACAATATTACACACTAAGCATAGTAAGTCAGACATCAAAGGGAATCATTTGGGGACATATGTCTGCATTTTATGAATTTTAGTTTCAGTTAGAGAAACCATTTCTTTTGTTCACTGAAAATAAGAGATTTAATGTGTAATTTCAAGTGTTCACTGAGCTGTGCCAAGATTACCAAGATATTTGACTACGTAAAACTGTGTTTTCTCAGTATAGGTAGATAATGTCCAATCACTGTTACTATGAAGAGAGCACAGATATGGAGGAGTGATAGTTTTTTGTGTTGGAACTAATTGAGCTACCCATATTTTTTTTTCTCTCTGTGAATCAGGCATGTAGGCTTTTTTTTTTTTTTTTGATACAACATTCTGCTTCCCTGTATATCTGCACACCGGAAGAGGGCACCAGATCTCATAATATATGGTTGTGAGCCACCATGCTCCTGGTCATGATGATAATGGACAGAACCTACAAAACCTTAAGGGAGGCCCCAATTAAGTGTTTTCTTAATAAGAGTTCCATAGTCATGGTGTCTCTTCACTGCAATAAAAACCCTAAGACAAACAGATTTTGCTTTCTTCTTCCTTAATGTAGTTGCAGTATGACCACTCACCTTCTACTCATTTGCAATTTCTTCTCTACCATGATGAACTGTATCTCTTCTAAATGTGAGCCAGAATAAATCCTTCCTTTGCCAAACTGCTTTGTCAGATGTTTTATAATAGAAAAAAGGTAAGTACTATTGTATGTGGAAATAATTTTTGTGTTTGTTGAAAAAAGAATGAGAATGACTTAATATAAAGCATGCTTATATCATTCTACTCTTCTTTAGATCTTGGTTTTGTCTCAATAACATGCCCGTCTCTAATTAGATCTGACAGATCACATTTCAATTATTCCGTTTTAATTTTCCCCTGGAAATAAAAAACAGGAGCAATTACAGATTCATCTGATTCAAGGAATTATCTCATAGGTCATAGTGTGAGGTTAAATATTTTAAAGGGGATACTTTTAGGGAATAAAAAGCAACTATATAAATGTATATTAATTTGCTTGAAAAGGAATGGAAATTCAGAATTATCAAATTTGTTTCTACTTCTGATATGTAGTCTGTGTATACATAAAGGAGGGATATGGCTTGGGTATTAACCAGCTGCACATGTTTTCTGATTTTTCACTGCTAGTCCTAGTCCCCACCCTGCCTGTGGCTGTGATAAATTCTGTTACATAAGTTACATGATGGAGAAAAGGTTTATTTTACCTCACAATTCAAAGTACAGTTCATCATGGCAAGGGCAACCAAGAAGTAGGAATTGGAAGCAACTAGTTTGTTACCTCAAATATCAAGGGATGAAGTGGCAGCATGCTATTACCATTTATCTCTTTCTCCATTTACATGGCCCAAGATCCAGTCCTGAGTTTTTGCCACACATAGTGGGCAGATCATCCTACCTCAATGATTGTGCCATAGACCCAACCCCCAACTGATCCTAAGTTTTGTTAATTTGACAATTAAAAAAATATTATACTGCTTTAAAACCCAACTCTAAGTAGAGGAGATGTGTTCACAATGCAAGTTTTACTTTCCAAGCTTTGTGTTTAGATTTTGCCTTGGGATTCAACACCCAGGCAATTACAATCCAAATTTCTCATTCCAACTTAAGCTACCACAGCACAATCCAACAAATGCATACAAGGAAGTATTTTCTATTTATTTATAAATAAAGTCACTTATTTTACTGCTGCTTTGAATAATATTTTATATAAAACATCATTGATTCTATGGGTTTAGAATTCAAATATCAATCTTTAAAATATGCAACCAACCATCCATTGTATATACTCTATCAATTCTTTTTTTTTATTTTATTAGTTCTAGTTAGGGAACAAGCTTATTTCAAGTCCCTTCTCCCTCTCCCTCCCCTCACACCCAAACTTCCTCCCCCACCCCCCACCCCATCCACCCACCACTCCCCAGGCAGGGTAGGGCCCTAAACGGGGGCTCTGCAATGTCCACCAAGTCTTCCTATGCTGGTCCTGGGCCCTAACATAAATATAAAGTGATAGTGTATAGTTTAAATATCAATCAGTTATCAAGTAAGAAAATACGGGTATGTGTTAACCCAAAATTGTCAGTATATTTTGGACCTTATTAATATAAAATAATACACTCTGTTATATTCAAACCATTCCAATATGTTCTCTTCCTATTTTTAACACTTTATTCCCTGTTATTTCTTCAGTGATTCCCAATATATCCTTCTTCCTTCTGTTTTCAGACATAATAGTTTGACAAAAATAGTTCAAGTTATTATAAATAAAACTTGCACATAATGCACATATTTCCATATGAAACCATACACTAGTGGTTATTGTGGCATGCTAGAATGATTCTAAATTTCTAGAAACCTTAGAGCAATTAATAAAAACCATAAAAGGATCTCAGATGGAAATTATATATACTGTCAGATTTGAAGTCACAGATATCTCACCCTGTGAGAGTAATTGCATTTTTTGTCAAATTACCTGAAATTGAATCATGAAAATAAGATACTTTTTGTCTAATCCCACGTGGAATGCTTTTTCTCCTTATATAAGAAAACATAAGTATGCGTTGTGTACTTTTACAAAACTAGTGAATTTCCCTTCCAGTATTTGAATGCCAACTTGTAAGTGCTTGAGTATTGCAGACATAGAGGGTTTCTTGTAGTATTTAATTTTTTTCAAACAGTGTTCAATATTCTTGGCTAGCTAGAGCCATCAACCTAGATATATCCTATTAAATAATATCAACAAAAATCTTGAATGAGGCACAATTTTAAGATAAAAAATGACTTTTTAAAAGATATTAAAAATCAAAACTGTTCCTAGTTTAATCAACAGTGCCACCAGGTGGTTACATTAATGCAAAAGTAATATTGTTTACATGATTTAATTTTAAGAAGTGGTTTGGGTGCTTATAATTCACAAGAAAGTGGCATAATTACAACATGAGTACATGTAGCTAATAGAAAACACCCTAAATTTTCTTGACCTCACTACTATTCCTTTACAGTAAGCCATTTATTCTCTAAATTCACAAAGTCTTGGAAAAACCACTGAAAATCGATTGCATTCAATCTCTTCTTTGTTAGTGAGCACCATTCCCACTTCAGTCATTTCTGCCATTTCAAATAGTTCAAAGATTACAAAAGTTCAGAATGACACATAACTAATACCTTGAACAGGTCAGTAATGTTGTAGTATGTGAGTGAGTCATACTTACTGCCCTTTTCCCAAAACTGTACCTGAGAATCACTCATGATATTTTAACATAAATGGGAATCTATTTCCTCAAGATTAATGGTGACTTTATCATATTATTTCAATTAATTTTGTTAGTGTGCTTATTTAAGTATTCTGATGTATTGCTTTCCTTCGGACAATAATCATGTCTGATTATTGCTTCTATTTTTACAGTTTCTATTGCCTCTGGCCATTCATGCCATTGCTGCTGAATTTGCTGTTCCAGTACTAAGAAAAGGAACTGAACTGATAATTTGTACAATTGATTGATTATGAAACTGATGGTGAGTAGTATTTCCACTCCTTACTTTTCTGAATAGGGTCTGTTTTAGCAGAAAGAAGGCTTTGATTTTCTTGTTTTTAGTGAAATAATTTAATTTAATTTATAAATCTGTAGCCTTCCAATAGTGTTGATTCCTAGATCATCAATATGACATAATTGTACATAATTTAGGAAACACACAAATCTCAAATTGAGGTGTATTCTTCTATTTAGTACTTCCAATAATAATGTAATCTTAATACCCTTCCTCATGAATTCATTTGTTACTAATTCAAATCATCTCATTCATACAGAAGAAAAACAACATATTTTATTAATGCAAATGATGAATGTATGTGTTGAATGCATCATTTTGGGACAGGTCTCAGATAACAGTGGTAGTACAGGATTGGGAAAAAAGAAATGATTGCTAAGGAACTGGATTCTGGGAAAATTCCTACTAAGAAGCAGGATACAGGAGAAATGAGTTTGACTCTCCAGGAAGTGAGAGGATGCTACAACCATGGTACTCTCAGAGACACACATGTTTAAACATGTCCTGAACAACAGTAAACCCCTAGGGGTTGGGGAAATATAGGCAAATAAAAATCAAAAAGAGTGGAAGACTTTAATCTTTCCCAGGGCTGAGACCCATAATTGGTTATTCAATTCCAATGGAAAACGTTTAATTTTTATGATCTTTGAGAGAAGCTAAGTTATATTTCTTTTTTTCAACTTTTTTATTTGAATTAGAAACAGGATTGTTGTACATGACAATCCGAGTTCCCTTCTCCAACCTGTCCTCCCTACCACCACTCCCCAACTAAAACCCTATCTATCACATATCCTTTCTGCTCCCCCTGGATGGTGAGGTCTTCCGTAGGGTGTCATCACAGTCTATTGGGATAGGACCGAATGCCACCCCTGTATGTGTTGGCTCAGGGAGTATTCCTCTATATGGAATGGGCTCCCAACATCCACACCTATTCTAGTGATAAGTACTGAACTTCTACAGAAGGTCCCATAGATTTCCGATGTTTCCTCACAGAAACCCATGTTCCTGGGGTCTGGATCAGTCCCATGCTGGTATTCCAGCTATCAGTCTGGGGAGCAAGAGTTCACCAGTGTTCAGGTCAGATGTTTCTGTGGGTTTCACCAGCCTGGTCTGGACTCCGGTGCTCTTCATTCGTCCTCTGAATCTGGGATTTAGTTCAGTTCGGTGATTAGTTGGGGGTGTCTGCTTCTACTTCCACCAGCTGCTGAATGAAGGCTATAGGATCGCATATAAGATAGTCATCAATCTCATTATCAGGGGAGGGCATTTAAGGTAGCCTCTCCTCTGTTGCTTAGATTGTTAGCTGGTGTCATCTTTGTAGATCTCCAGACATTTCCCTAGTGCCTGATTTCTCTGTAAACCAAAAATGTCTCCTTCTATTATGGTATCTCCATTCTTGTTATCATCTATTCTTCCCCTGACTCAACCTTTCTGCTCCTTCATGTCCTCTGAATCCCTCCTATTCCCCCCTTCTCATTCTCCTAGCTCCCTCCTCCCTCTTCCCATGCTCCTAATTTGCTCAGCAGATCTTGATCATTTCCAATTCTCTAGGGGACCACATATGTCTCTCTTAGGGTCCTCCTAGTTTATTAGCTTCTTTGGCCGTTTGGATTGTAGGCTGGTAATCCTTTAGTCTATGTCTAAAATCCTCACATGAGTGAGTACATACCATGTTTGTCTTTTTGCGATTGAGTTACCTGGCTCAGAATGGTTTCTTCTAGTTGCATCCATTTTCCTGCAAATTTCAAGATTCCATTGTTTTCTTTTTACCACTGAGTAGTACTCCATTGTGTAAATGTACCACATTTTCTCTATCCATTCTTTGGTTGAGGGGCATCTAGGCTGCTTCCAGTTTCTGGCTATTGCAAATAGTGCTGCTATGAACATCGTTGAACAGATGTCCTTGTTTTATGAATGTGCTTATTTGGGTACATGCCTAAGAGTGAAATTGCTGGATCTTGTGGTAGACTGATTCCCATTTTCTTGAGGAGTCACCATACTGATTTCCAAAGTGGCTGTACAAGTTGGCACTCCTACCAGCAGTGGAGAAGTGTTCCCCTTTCTCCACATCCTCTCCAGCATGACCTGTCATTGGTGTATTTGATTTTGGTTATTCTGACAATAGAGTTGAAAACCCTGATATTAACCCACACACCTATGAACACCTTATTTTTGATAAACAATCCAAATTTATACATTAGAACAAAGAGAACATCTTCAACAAATGGTGCTGTCATAACTGGTTGCAGACATGTAGAGACTACAGTTAGAACCAAGCCAATTGCCTTGCACAAAACTTAAGTCAAAATGGATCAAAGACCTCAACATAAATCCAGCTACACTGAACCTATTAGAAGACAAAGTGGGAAATACCTTTGAATTAATTGGTACAGGAGACTGTTTCCTGCACATTACACCAGTAGCACAGACACTGAGGTCAACAATTAATAAATGGGACCTCCAAAAACTGAGAAGCTTCTGTAAGGCAAAGGAGACAGTCAGCAAGACAAAACGTCAGCAGACAGAATGGAAAAAGATATTGACTAACCCCACATCTGATAGAGGGCTGATCTCCAAAATATACAAAGAACTCAAGAAGCTAGTCTCCAAAACACCAAACAATTCAATTGAAAATTGGGGTACAGAACTAAATAGACAATTCTCAATAGAGGAATCTAAAATGGCTGAAAGACACATAAGAAAGTGTTCAACATCCTTAGCCATCAGGGAAATGCAAATCAAAATAAGTCTGAGATACCATCAAATGGAAAACCTTTGAATCAAATATGCACAAACAACAATAAACTAAGTCAACAAGATCTATTTATATACTTATGTGTATATGAATGGAAACACACATTCAACAATAATCAAAGAAAATGAAGTCGTAGATTTAAGGAGTAGAGTGGATAGGGGAGAAAGACATGAACTATGTTGTAGGGATGAAAGGGAAAGGAGCTAATTATGTCATTATATTCTAATTAAAATATCATGAATTAAAAAGCATATAACCACTTACTCAGATTTCCTTGATGGGAAAAAAGTAGCCATGATGTCTACAGCCTAGAAAAGGGAATTGGCCAAGTTCTTGATTTCTCCTGTCATCAGGAGCCTTAGTTGTCTAGCTACTTTGAACAAAATTTTAATGGACAAAATGATAGTCATTCAACATTATCTACTGTGAGGAAGGACATAAAGAGGCTCTGGAAATAAATAGCTCTTAGTTTGTCCCATTAACCATTGCACACAAAATGGAAAGTTCCAAAGATATATGGCCTGACACGGATAATGTCCTGAATACCGCAAGACAGAGCAGTTAGTATTATTACTAAGATGTAGTTCAGGTTCACTTGCATTGTACCTGCCCTTTTCTCTCTTCCTTGATTATGCTCTACTTTCCATTTTGATGCTTATTGAAATGTTCTTCTCAAATTTTGGCCAAGCTTTGTCTAAGACACAGGTTTATAGACATAATCTGTGTATGTAAAATTATTTCTTTATTAATCATTTAAATGTTCATGAGAAAATCCAACAAAAGCTAGCCTTAATTCTGGGTACTTGCTACAATATTATACTTAGTTCACTATAAGAGAGTTGTAAGGAGTCGGAAAAATTGGTTGTTTTCTGAATGTTTGAAAACACAGCTATCAGAATACAGTCTTTTGGAATTCCTTAAGTGAGAACAACATGCATCTTTTGTTTGGTTATTTTTGTGTTTACTTTTTTGAAATTTAAACAATGCAATATTAATAGTAACACTTGATAATAAAACATACCATATACCTAATAGATAATAAAATATAGATGTAGGCCAATATAAATGTAGAGAGTTTAAGAATGTCATGTTTGATGCAATATGCCAGGGAGGATTTAATTTAAGGCTATCAATGAGAAAGAACTGGGATCCTTGTGTGTATCTCATGATCTGAAAAAAAAACTAATGAGATTGTTCAGCTTACTTTTTTCTTTATTTCTGAAATCTGTACTGAGCTCATCTAGCCTATTAGAGAAGCTATAAATTTTGAAAATTTATATCAGGAAAAAATGTCAACAGTAAAAGCAAACAAACATCATTTCAGACAAAGTAAACTTAATTCCTCCTTGGCAGAAATTTAATGACATGCAATGATGAGCATATCCCAGAATCAAAATCAAGAGGATGGATGACATGATAATACCATATTATGGCAGAAACAGCACAGAGCTCATGAAATATCTATGAGTGAGATCCCAGAGTAACCTTGAGGTTTGCCAAGTGATTCATTTTTTAAAAAATTAGGCACAAATGTTAAGGAAATTCAGGGGAGAAAAAGGAAAGCTGAAAAAATAAAAATTTTGAATGTGTGAAAGACTCATTGAACACTGTTCAAGAGATTAAGATACTAAACTAAACTTTGATTCCAGTAAAGCAAGCCAGGATCATACCCATACCTTTGAAGGAATAGCAATAACTAACTTTCAGGATAGATTTTCAAATTTATTTTCTTTTCCTTTCTTTCCTTTTTGTTTGTTACTGTTTCCTTTTGTTCACTATTTCTGTGTTTTCTTTGAGGAGGTAGGGTCTCTGTATGTATCTCTGGAAGTCTTAGAACACATTATGTTGACACATATTTATCTTTATGCTTATTTGTATGAAATACATATAATACCACTGATCATGGAAATTACATTTTTTTCTGAGTTATCAAGAACATTACCTATTGATTTCAATGAGAAATAGCTTCATTTTAGAAAATCTGATAACCAAGTAAGGCTAGATTTGTAGCTAATAAATGTTCTATTATTTCAAAAAGTTTAATCCAGAATGATGTTTTTCTTGTATTGTGGGTCATAGGCAAAAATAATAACTCCATTGACTTCAAAAAGAGGTTCCAAATCATTAATGTACAAAATTAATAAAAAACATTTAACACAGACCCTGGAGGAAAACCAGATGTTTCCACCTAATTAGAGGAGACCGGACTTAATGTGACAATACATTTCATTCACATTTAAAAATAAGCAGGATCCAACCTTAACTAATTTAATGGAGCTCATAGCTACAAGCTATTATGAGTAAGGAAGAGTCAATGAAGGGTCAAAATTCTGCAAAATGAGAGATTAAAAAATTAATACCTCTCCTGTCCTCTTCTCCCCTTCTCCTTCTCTTACTCCCTCTCCCCTCCCCCATGCTCCCAATCAGCTCAGGGGATATTGTCCCTTTCCCCTTCTCCAGGGGACCATATATATCTCTCTTAGGGTCCTCCTTGTTTCCTAGCTTCTCTGGCAGTGTGGACTGTAGGCTGATTATGCTTTGTTCTATGTATAAAATCCAAATATGAGTGGGTACATACCATGTTTGTCTTTTTTCGACTGGGTTACCTCACTCAGGTTGCTTTCTTCAACTTCCATCAATTTGCCTACAAACTTCAAGATTCCATTGTTTTATTCCGATGAGAACTACTCCATTGTGTAAATGAACCAGATTTTCTTTACCTATTCTTCAGTTGAGGGGCATCTAGGGGCTTCTAGGTTCTAGGTATTACAAATAATGCTGCTATGAATATGGTTGAACAGATGTCCTTGTTGTATGAATGTGCTTCTATTTGGTATATGCCTAAGAGTGGAATTGCTGGGTCTTGGGGTAGACTGATTCCCATTGAGGAATGACCATACTGATTTCCATTGTGGCTGTACAAGTTGGAACTCCCACCATCAGAGGGTGTGTATTCACCTTTCTCCATATCCTCTCCAGCATGAACTGTCACTGATGATTTGATTTAAGCCAATCTGACAGTAGTAAGATGGTATCTCAGAGTTGTTCTGATTTGTTTTTCCCTGGTGGCTAAGACTTGAACACTTTCTTATGTGTCTTTCAGACATTTCACATTCCTCTGTTGAGAATTCTGTATTTAGTTGGATTATTTGATATTTTGGTGACTAGCTTCTTGAGTTCTTTGTAAATGTTGGAGATCAGCCCTCTGTCAGTATTGGGGTTGGTGAATATCTTTCCCATTCTGTGGGCTGCTGTTTTGTTTTGTTGACTGTGTCCTATGCCTTACAGAAGCTTCTCAGTTTAAGGAGGTCCTGTGGGGAGCCACAGCCCCAAGATGGCACCTGGCTGGATGCCAGGGAGACTGAGCCTTATTTGGAAATGCTTAGTGGATCTGGTGTGCCTCCTCCAGCTGTGACTTATCCGGGATCGCCAGGTGGCATGAACTAATTGGGTAATGAGCTTGCTTTGAAGGGCTTGCCAGGGGGTTGGGGGGTGGCTGGGAGAGGGAGAAGCTGATGTACAAGGTTCCTGAATAAACTGCTTGAAGAAGAGTCGTGGTTGTGTTTCTCTTGCTGGTCGAGATAGACGCTACAAGTGGTGTCCGGTACGGGAACCTCTGTCTGTGGGTGAACGGCTCAGAACTTCCTGCAGTCATGGCAGTCAACTGGTAAGTCCCAGGTAAGTTGGGACCAAGTTAAGGACCTCGGTAAAGAGGCAATAAGGTCTCCATTAAGGAGCAATAAAGTTCCAGGAGTGGACAAAATAGAAGTAACCAAATGTGAAAGTATGGGGAGTTTGACATCACAACCCATTTATCTATAATTATTATCCTAAACATCCGATTTTAATTTTTTTGAAAGAATATCCAGTAATTTTTCCAAAAGACACCAGAAGAGAACCATTAAGGGTGCTGTAACTGTCTTTACTAATGGTTCCAAGACTGGGTGTGATGCTTATGTAATTGGAGAGAGTGTCCAGTTGTTTGTCAATTCAATTGAGGTGTCACCTCAAATTGTTGAATTTCAGATAGTCCCTGAAGTATTTTGGAAAGTCCCTGAGGCCTTAATTTAATTTCAGATTCCAATTATATTGTTAATATGTTGAAAGATTTGGAAGTTGCAGGAAAGGCGAAGGTAAATAGCCCTATTTAGCCATATATAATACAGCTGCAGGAGTTGATTTGGAGGTGTTCGAAACCCTTTTATATTCAACATATTAGGGCACATTCTGTATTAGCTGCAGCTGTAGGAGGCACCACGGCTTAAATATTTTGTCAGCTAATGTAGCCACCGCTTTGGATGTGGAGTCTTCCCTTAATGCTCAGTTAAAAGGCGGTATTATGGTTGTGAACCAACGCATTGACCTAGCTCAGGAACAGGTCGATGCCCTGTGGCAGTTGGCGCAACTAGGATGTGAGTGGAAGATGACCAGATTGTGTGTGACCTCTGTAATTATTCGTTAGCAGCCAATATGTCTAAACAGCTTCCTCAGTATCTTTTAGGTAATTGGTCTGGCAACTTCAACAAATTGATGCAGAACCTGAGGCTCTCTATTGTGAATGTGAATTCCACCTGGGTCAATGTCAGTGTTGCCGAAGGACTGTCTGCATGGATCACTCAAGCCATGAATCATCTGAAAGAATGGGCGGGAATGGGTGCCCTGGGAGGAATGCTTATCCTAGTTAGTTTCATAGCCTTATGGTGTATCTGCAGGATGTGGGTCACACAGCAGAGAAGTAATGCCATAATTGCACAAGCCTTCGTGGCCCTGGAGGCAGGGCAGTCACCTCAGGCTTGGCTAACAGTACTAAAGAGCTAAGCAGTCATCCCACTCAGGCTGCAAGATGAAGTACTGCACTTGAAGTCAGCATTCCGAGGCTTCATGAAGGGCATGTCTGATTGCATATGGGTTGGTATCGTACTCCCATCTCTGAGAAAAGATACTGGACAGGTGTGGCACCAGCTCAGCTGATAACTGGGTGTGGGGTCATTACAAGTCCCTTGATTTCAGGGATCAGACCTCTACCTTTGCCTGTTGTGTTATTTTAAAATAAAAATGGGGGAACTGTGGGGAGCCACAGCCCCAAGATGGTGCCTGGCTGGATGCCAGGGAGACCGAGCTTAGCTGTAAACAAACCTTATTTGGAAGTGCCTAGCGGATCTGGTGTGCCTCCTCCAGCTGTGACCTATCCGGGATCACCAGGTGGTGTGAGCTAATTGGGTAATGAGCTTGCTTTTAAGGGCTTGCTGGGGGTGGGGAGGAGGGCTGGGAGAGGGAGAAGCTGATGTACAAGGTTCCTGAATAAACTGCTTGAAGAAGAGTCGTGGTTGTGTTTCTCTTGCTGGTCGAGATAGACGCGACAAGGTCACATTTATTAATTGTCAATCTCAGTGTCTGTGCTACTGAGGATATGTTCAGGAAGTGGTCTCCTGTACCGAGTTCTTTGAAGGGTACTTCCTACTTTGTTTTCTAAGGGGTTCATTGAGACTGGTGTTATTTTTAGGTATTTGACCAATTTGGACATAAGTTTTGTTCATGGAGATAGGGATCTATCTGCAGTCTTCTACACACCAACATCCAGTTATGCAAGCACAATTTGTTGAAGATGCTTTCTTTTTTCCATTGTACAATTTTAGCTTCTTTGTCAAAAATCAGGTGTTACTAGGTATGTGCATCCATATCAGGGTTTTCAATTCAATTCCCTTGGCCTACCTGTATTTTTGTACAAATACCAAGCTGTTTTCAGGACTATTGCTCTATAATAGAGTTGAAGTCAGGAATGGTGATGCCACCTGAAGTTCATTTATTGTACAGGGTTGTTTGGCTGTCCTGGGTCATTTCCATATAAAGTTGAGAATTGTTCTTTCAAGATCTGTGAAGAATTGTGCTGGGATTTTGAAGGGGATTTCATTGAATCTGTACATTGCTTTTGGCAAGAATGCCATTTTTCCTATGTTGATCCTACCTATCCAAGAGTGTGGCAGATCTTCCCATTTTCTGATATCTTCTTTAATTTCTTTCTCTAAAGACTCAAAGTTCTTGTTACACAGGGCTTTCACTTGTTTGTTTAGCCTGCTGGTTAGGTATTTTATATTGCTTGTGGCAATTGTAAAGGGTGATGTTTCTCTGATTTCTTTTTCAGCCCATTTATTGTCTGTATATAGTAGGGCTACTGATTTTTTTAATTACTTTTGTATGCTGCCACTTTGCTGAATGTGTTCATAAGCTGGTAGAATTTTTCAGGTTACTTATGGAAACTATAATATCATGTGCAATAGTGAAAGTATGACTTCTTTTCCAATTTGTTTCCCCTTGATGTTTGTTGTCTTATTGCTCAACTAGAACTTTAAGTACAATATTGAAGAGATATGAAGAGAGTGGATAGCCTTGTCTTGTTCTTGATTTTAGAGGAATTGTGTTGAGTTTCTCTCCATTTAGTTTGATGTTGGCTATTGGTTTGCTGTATATTGTTTTTATTATCTTTATCTATGTTTTTGTTATCCCTGATGTTTGTAAGATCTGCATTATGAAGGCGTGTTGTATTTTGTTGAAGGCATTTTTAGCATCTAAGGGAATATGAACATTGAGTCAGGGAAAAAATAGAGGGCAAGAAAAGAGATACCATACTAGATGGAGCCATTGTAGGTTTATAGAGAAATCTGGCGCTAAGGAAATGTCCAGAGATCTACAAAGATGACCCCACCTAAGCAATAGTGGAGAGACTCCCTTGATGGGGGAAATACTTCTGTGTATGTTTATAAATAAAGTACTTGCTTGGCCAATGAGACAGTAGGTTAGGCTGGACTAGGAGTCAAAGAGGATTCTGGGAAATGTAGTAGAAAAGTGGTGTTCCAGACAGAAAGTGACATAGCAAGGAGACTCATATTTAAGAAGAGGAAAAAGGAAGTGTCGCTCTTTTTTCCCCTCGGCTCCTGCTCCAGCGGCACGATGTGATTCACCAGCAAGGAGGGACGCCAATAAGGTGTCCGATAAGATAAGTCTTATAAAATATATAGATGTATGATAATTGAGACTGAGCTAACAAATGAGAATCCTAGTCATTGCCCAAACAGCATTGTAACTAATACAAGTCTCTCTGTGTATTCATTTGGGCCTAACTCGGGCAGGCGGCTGGCATAAAACTCACATGTGGCAGTGGGGCTCAGGCAGCTTTTGGTAGAAATATTTATCGTAACAGACTACCTTAAATGCTTTTCTCCAATAATGAGATTCATGACTGCCTTATATGCTATCCCAGAGCCTTCATCCAGTAGTTGGTGGAATCAGAAACAGACACCCACAGCTAAACATTGAGCTGAACTCCTGGAATCCAGTTGCAGAGAGGGAAGAGTGATGAGCAAATGCGTCAAGCCCAGTCTAGAGAGATCCAATAAAACAGCTGTCCTGAACAAGGGGGAGCTTATCAACCCCTGACTAATATCTGGATAGCCAGCATAGGACTGTTGAAGACCCCCTTGATGTAGATGTCATTTTGAAGATTTGGGAACTCCATGGGGCATCTGCTAGTTGATCAGTATTCATCCCTAGTACATGAATGGACTTTGGGAGTCCACTCCACATAGAGGGATACACTCTCAGCCTAGACACATGGGAGAGATATAAGCCCTGCACCAAATGATATGACAGTTTGATGATTCCCCCATTGAAGGACTCACCCTTCCAGTGGAGCAGAAAGGGGATGAATAGGGGGGTAGGGAGCAGAGGAGGGACAGGAACTGTGATTGACATGTAAAACAAGGTTGCTTGTAATTTAAATAAAAAGGAAAAAATTAATGCTATCACAAGTACACAAAATTTCCCTCGTGTCCTTCTAGCAATGTAGAACATACATTTTGCTAAGTAATTCAGGTTTCATGAATAATAAAACATTACAAATAAAAATATGAAACATGAAACAAGGGCTGATTGTAAATAAAAAAAACACATTTTGGTTTCTTAATATATAAAATATTACAGAATTACAAGACTGATCCAGCCCCCTGAACATGGATACCAATAAGGAGGCCTCTACACTCCAGGGAGCCTCTGGAATTGGATTATCATTTTTCTCTGGTGTAAGAAGGGTCTTTGAGAGCCCATCCTACATGAAGGGATGCACTCTGGCCCTGGACACATGGGGAAGGGTCCAGGCCTAGCACAGGAAGATTTGGTGGACTTTGCAGAGCACCCGTTGAGGGCCCTACCCTGCCTGAGGAGTGGTGGGTGGATGGGGTGAGGTTGGGGGAGGGGGAGGAGGGATGGAGGTGAGGGGAGGGAGAGGGAGAAGGGGCTTACATGTGAAACAAGCTTGTTCCCTAACTTGAATTAATAAAAAAAAA